GGTAGAGGCAGGCAGATTTCTGAGTTCGAGGCCAGCCTGGTCTACAGTGAGTGAGGCCAGGGGTACACAGAGAAACCCTGTCTCGAAAAACCAAAAAAAAAAAAAAAAAAAAAAAAAGAGCTGAACATGGTGACACACACCTGTTACCCTAGCACTGGGCAGCCTGAAGCAGGAGGATTATGGATTTTGAGGCTACCCAGGCCCGTGTATATTTTGAGGCTGCACATAACCCATGTACCCACAGAAGCCAACCGAAGCTGTTAAGTATTCTGTTCTGTCTGGTCTGCTGAGAGAGTTCCAGTACAGCAGTAGCTGTAAGATGAGACAGATCTTAACTGAGCTAGCTGGCAGCCAGCAAGTCCCAGCAATACTCCTGCCTCAGCCTCCACATTGTGCAGTAACCGGTGTGTGTGTGTTGTCTGGCGTTTCATGTATGTGGGGGGGATTTGAACTCAGATCCTCATGATCCCACAGCATGTGCTCTGCCCCATTGAGATATCTCCTTAGCTCAAGACAGGTTCTTTCTAAGTAGCTCAAGGTTTGAACACACGGATTATGCTTTTTTTTTTTTTTTTTTTTTTTTTAGTGAAAAAAATAAAATAAATATCCTTTTAGCATTAATAATTCTTTTAAGCAGGTCCTGCACAGGAAGAGAGGAGCTTGATGAATTCTGTGATTTGAGGAATGGGGAAGAGAAAGTTTTTTGCAGCCTGAGGAAACCTTGTCTCGAAAACAAGAAACAAACAAACAAAAAACCAAGACATAAAAGGCAGACAGCCGGGGCTGGGACTTGGTGACTGGAGACTTGTGTAGCTTGCTGGAAGCTGGAGTGCCATCCCTAACCCCCCAGTAACTGTGGTTACTGTGAAAGCCTGGGGCCCTGGCTCCCTGGAGGTGGGAACAGGAGCACCAGGAGTTTAAGGCTAGCCTTGGATACATAGTTTGAGGCTAGACTAGGTTACATTGTAAATTCCTATCCTAAAAAAAAAAATCAAAACTTAGCTGGTCAGTGGTGGCACATGCCTTTAATCCCAGCACTTGGGAGGCAGAGGCAGGTGGATTTCTGAGTTCAAGGCCAGCCTGGTCTACAGAGTGAGTTCCAGGACAGCCAGGGCTATACAGAGAAACTCTGTCTTGAAAAACCAAACCAAAAAAAAAAAAACCAAAAAAACAAAAAACAAACAACAAACAAAAAAAAAACAGCTTTGGAGAGACAGGGTTTTTGTTTTTTGTTGTTTTTTTTTTTTTACCTACATAGTCCCACTCACAAGACACTGGGGGAAGCCAAAGCAGGAACTCAAACTGGGTGGGAACCTGGCAGGAGCTGATGCAAGAGCTGACGCAGAGGCTGGGGGTGGGGTGGGGAGGAGTGGGGGGGGGATCTCTCCTGTCAATCACTAATTCAGAAAATGCTTTACAGCTGGATCTTATGGAGGCATTTTTCTCAATTAATGTTCCCTCCTCTCAGATGATTTTAGCTTGTGTCTAATTGACAAAAGTAGCCAGCAAAGATGGTTCTGTTGGTTAGTAGATAGAGTGTCTGCTGTGCAAGCAGGGGGACATCAACTGGACACTCAGTGCCCAGGCGGAGAAGCCAGGAGGTGGTGGGGGTGGGAGGTGTGCACCTGCAGGAGTGTGCGCACAGGGCTGCAGGGTGACCAGGGCATTCCTGTGGCTTGCTAGCCAGCCATTTAGTCTATCCAGTCAGTGAGTTCTGGGTTCATAACAACTTTAAAGATAAGGTGGACAGATAAGAAAGCACTTGGTGTAGAATTCTGGCTGCCTTGTGCACAAGCACATGCAGACACACACATACACACATATGTACACACCACACATACACCACCACACACACACACCACCACCACACACTTACACACACACCACCACCCACACATACACACACACCACCACCACACACACACACACACACACACACACACTCCACATACACGCATATGTACACACACCACACACACACCACCACCACACACATACACACACATCACCACCCACACATACACACACACACACACCACCACCACATACACACACCACCACACACACACACCACATACACACATATGTACACACACACACCCCACACAAATTTCAAACCAAATAATTTAAATCCAAGTAACTTGCATTTCTTGCTCTGGGCAGAAAAGGGCAGGTGTTTTCTAGAGTTGGAAAGGAGGAAGGAGGGAGGAAGGGGAAGAGGAGGGAGGAGGGAGGAGGGAGGAAGGGGAGAGGAGTGGGGTGGAGGGGATGCCTCAGAGAGTATGACTGCCTGATCCATCCCTCGTGTGGCTTCTGAGTGGGGAGCGGAACCAAACACATTTCTGGTCAAGTTCCAGAATTCTCTCAAGCTGGTGATGGGAAAACAAACGGAAGGAAAAGAAGCAGAAGCAAAAACTTTCTGGAGCAAATTCTGTGGCCCAGGGCAGTTTAGGAGACAGCACAGGTGGCAGGTGAAGGAGAAATGAGTCAGAGAAGCAGACTCCACCCCCAACAGGCTGAGACTGCTTTATTTCAACAGTGGGCACATGTGGATGGTCTGGGACACACACATACACCACACACACACATACACACATATACCATACAATACACACCATACACACATACACACACATAAACCAAATACACTCCACACACCATACACATACACACACAAACCATACAAA